ATATCATCCTCTCTCGCGTTTTCATTATCTTTTCTTAAATCGTTATTCATCCTCCTCCATCTTTGTCAATCTCTACGTATCCAAATTAATTTCCGTAATCGAGAAACGATGAAAAATAGAAGAACGGGAGAACAACGAAGGGGAAGCTCCGAGGACAGGCCTCGGAGGAATTAATTATGTTGCCTTCGTCCCCAACGATCACTCTTTCCAAAGGGGAGGGGGGTAAAACCTCGGCCAAACTCGGCCGCAACAATTCCACGCTTTTTCTCCCTCGATTGATCCGCGACCCACTTTCCCTCCACCGTAATTCTTAATGCGCGGATCTCCACGATTTATCGTTAAGGCGATTGCGAAGACGCATGGAGAAGACGGATCCTCTCCTATAATTCGACCAAGCAAGGCAAGAAAGATGGAGATAATCGATGTATGCGTTCGAAAATGTGATGGAATTATTTCTAGATGTTTCGTCGTTCTTTCTTTTTTTTTTATATTCGAGAAAATGTTACGGTTGATATAGATTCCGTGCAATTTTATTTCGTTCTAATGCGAATCCAGTTTAGCATTCCCGAACGATCTGTTTAACGGCATGGAAAAAGAAATTGTACGTACTGATATATGGAATGCGACGACTTAAAATAAAAAGTTGTGAACACAGAATGTCTCTTCAATCATCGATTCCTTTTTCTTCTTCTTTTTTTTTTTTTTTAGAACGAAGAGAGAATTTTTTAATCTTCGAGGATTATCACGAAAAATTCGTATTTTTACGATAGATATCCAATCGTGATTGACATATCCATGAAAATATCTTTAATGCGATATTAAAGCCACTCGTGGGAAGCCAGATTATTATAATCCATCCAACAAGTATAATAATAGGTAACATTTACCTATGTATCCAATAATTAAACATCAAAAGAGCTTAATGACCAGATATCTCTATATATCCAGAGGCGGCCACGCGATATTAAACCAGAGCACGGTGGTGTCGCTTATTACGACTATTATTCCGCAACGACCAGGATAATAAGTAACGCTTGCCTAAGCGTTTAGTAATTACGAGTCAAAAGGGCGTAACACGAATTTCTCGCGTGATTACGAAACCGTAATTTTCATTTTCGTTTCTTAATTTTTAACGATGATCGCAATCGTCGATAATATTTTTCATCGCGTTCGTTACGTTGGATTAAATTTAGAATAGGATACAAGCATTTTTTTCTTTTTTAAATTATTATCGATGAATCGAGCTGGCAACATCGACAGGTAACAATTTCAACCCCCAAGCGACCAATAATTAAAAGTCAAAAGGGCTTAATGACCGGAACAATTGAGCGGGAAAAGCGGATGGGATCGCGACTCTTCGACGATCGTGAATCGTGATTCGCAGTAAATATGCCGTGCGCAGCGGTAAAATAAATTCGCCTCTCGCGTCGCGCGTGCAATTTCAAATTTACGAGAAGGTTGGCGGGGAACGCGTTAACTTTTAACGCTACGGCAATCCATACGGGGGATAACTAACTAAATGGACAACGTTCTATCCATCTATCCATGCCTGCCAACTTTTAAAAGAAAAACGTATACCGTAGCTCGAGTGTGAAATTTATTAACGATTATAAAATTGATGATCGATTCGACACTTGTTAAAAATCAGCGACGAACGAATCTTACTCGAGATTTACTCGAGTTTGAATATCGATTTAAGATTTAAATTTTCCCTTGAATTGAAAAAAAATGGAAGGAGGAAAAGAAAAAAGAAATTTTCGAGAGAATCTTTACGTCGTTCTTGTCCCAGAAACTCGAGAGATTTCGACGAGTTATTTCGTCTTTAGAAGGAATGAAAACAAACGCACGAAACGAGCAATGTACAAGCTCGTTGTACAAGTCCTATTTGGCACGGGAATACTCGAAGCAAGTCAGACCGTTCGACCGTAGCTTGTGAATCTATCGCCCGACCATTCGCTAACTACATAACGTTAATTAACTTACCACTGTTCCACTGTTTCGCGGAAATAAGTTGATGCACCGAATTCTCTTTTCGTATCTCATGTATTTACCTCGTGTAAATTTCCTCCCAGAGTGTAAATTGCACGTTTCGTTAATCGATTTATCGGCCAATCAAATTTAATCGAACGTTTCATTATATTCCTCGTACGCATTTAAATTCGAGCAA